GAGAGAAGGTAATTCCATTATTTAAAAAGTGACAAAAAAGTGATGTGAAGAAGTATCGAGGGATTACCTTGCTCAATACGGCGTACAAGATATACGCAATGATACTAGATAAGAGGTTACGAAAGGAAATAAGGAAAAAAAATGTACGCATTGTTCATAGATTTCAAAGCGGCGTTTGATAGTGTGAATAGAGAGAAAATGTGGGAGTATTTGAGGAGAAAGGTAGTAGATGCGTACCTGGTAACGAAAATGGAAGAAATATATGAAGAAACAGTGAAGGAGAGTTTTTTTTTATATACAAAGAGAGGAGTGGGCCAGGGATGCCCACTCAGCTCCGCATTGTTTGCAGCTTATCTAGGAGATATAGATGAAATGTTCAGAAAAGCACAGACAGGAGGGGTGGTAGTGGGCAAAGAGAAAGTGTGGTCGTTGCCGTACGCAGATGCTTTGGTGATTGTGGCAAAGAAAAGAGAAGAAATGGAAACATTGATTATAAGTTTCGAGAAGTACGTACAAAAAAAGGAATTGGAAGTGAATGTGGAAAAAACAAAAATGGTGGTGTTTGGGAAGAAAGTAAAAAAGGAGAAGGAAGAGTGGGCATGGAGGGGGAAGAAGATTGAACAGGTGAAAGAATTCCAGTACTTAGGATATACATTCAAGAGCAGTAACTCAGATAGAGCGCATATTCAAGAAATGGTTCGAAAAGCGAACAAAGTGATAGGAATAGTACGCGGAATAGTTGAGAGAAAATTTGGACTTGATTATAAAAGAAGAATGATGATGTTTGATAGTTTGATCAAAAGTGTATTTATGTACGGAGCTGAGATTTAGGGATGGAGGGAATATGAAGAAATAGAGAGAGTGTAAGAAAAATACTTAAAATGGACATTGGGATTGGAAAAGTATACGCCGGGGTATATAGTGAGAGAAGAAACAAAAAGGGAGAAAATGAGAGTGGAAGCGGGTAAAATAGCAGTTGGATTTGAAGAGAAGTTTAGTGAGAGAGGTGATTGTAAAATATTGCAAGATTGTTGGAAAGAGATAAGAAAGGAACGAAAGAGACAAGTATCATGAAGGAAAGGGATACCTATGCATGTGAAGAAATAGAGAGAATGAGAGAAATGGGAAGGAGTATGAAAGAAGAACTGAGTGTAAGAGATAAGGATATAGATAAGCAAGAACGCAGATCGAGAATATCGGAGGAAAGTAGGGAAGAAGTGCTAAACGAGGATGGAAGAGGACTGGACTGGATGAAAGAAGTACGGTAAATAAAGGAAGGGGTGGGCAAGCAGAAAGAATAGAACAATTATTATTATTATACTTATAAAACTCGAATATTTATTTTATTTTATTTATTTTTATTGATTTATTTGCATTATGTAGATTAAGTTAATTTGTACCCCTACTAGGAATCTTATTAAATCAAACAGAAGTTAGAATTGAAAAATATTAAGAATCGTAAAAGAAACAGCTTCACTTTCAAAAATAGTAAACTGTCCATTACACGATTGGATGCAGTGGAATAATTCAAATAAATTTATACTCTAAACTTTACGTGACAAACCTATCTTTACCTAGCAGCGACGTAACGAAATATTGCCTCTATTCAAGTACGTGCACACTGAATTCACTCCTAGTTTAGGAAACGAAATTTCCAGTAGCAAATATGGTCACGGTTCAATATCAGTTATATCTAAGAATTGTGAGATTATCTGAACATTTTCAAGTAACAGAATTAAGTCAAGTTCTTCATTTTAAAACCATATTTACTACTTCATACATAAAAATATTAAATAGTAATATACAATTCAGTGGCGTAACTACCGGTGTTCCATGTGTTCGCCGGAACACGGGCCCGCTTCTTCAAGGGGCCCGGTCCGGTCACACGAACATTTTTTTTAATTGGATTTTTTGTATTATTGCGCAAATTACATTTGCGGTCATCCCAGGATCGATCGTTCATTGCTATTTACGATTTTTTTGCTGCAAAGGGCTGGCCCTCTGGCAGCATCTCAATATCATAGACTCAATAAACTCAGGTTTTAGCGACCGACATCGGCGGCTAGAAATGCATCAGCATCTGTTTCTAATAAACCTGTCGCACTGTCGCAATGCCATTGTGTCAAATCTAAAACACTTCATTTAGTAAATTACCAATCTTTAGCCGACAAAAATATGACTAATTTATGATTCAGGACAACAAAACACTTAAATTTTGTCCTCAGATCGTCAGTGAAACTTTATACTGTAAGACGGGAAAAAAAAAAATCTGTTTCAGTTGCGTTTTAGGAAAACTTTCGTATTTCCAAAAATGTTTTAATTTTGTGTTTGTGGTGCTTTTTTGGTATAATAAAATATATCTGATGTATGTTACAACTAATTTTTAATTCCCGAGCGTAAGCTAAGGAAGTATAGTAATTGAGTTCATCGGCTGAATTGCCACCTTCATATTTTCTCGACGTGTCATTAACTCATTACCTCTAGACTACGAAAAAAGTAGTCCCCCGTTTCCGCCTGTCTATCTGTCTGTCTGGTGTCTCTATCAATTTTTGTTAGACAAGTAATCTCTGAAACTACTGCACCGATTGTTATCAAATTTTGTATGTATATTAGGAATACCACCAATGGGATGATGTCATCTCCAAAATTTATAATAAAAAATTTTTTGAAATTTTTTCCTGCACCGTGTCGAATTTTTACCCCAGACATTAAGAATTTTTGGAAATATTTTGAAATATAACTTTGAAACTGCAAAACCGAATGCTCTGAAATCTAGTAAATATTTTAAGGATAACCATGGTAAATCGTTAAGCAAAATTTTTTCGTTTACCCACTCCCAAAAAATTGATGACATCATCTCAAAATTTTGCCGAGTAAATCCCATTCACAATGTGCAAAATATGATACCTGTGATTTATCATTGTATTAAAAGTTTTTAAATTTTTTAAACAGGGGAAAAATTAATGAAAGAGTCAATTTATTTTATTGATTAAATCAGGAACAGCTTACTCTCTTTTCCTAAAAATTTCGGAGTACAATACTGTTATCATTAGTATTACACTACACCTACCCAAAGTGATATAATCTATCGCTTTGCAAAAATGTTGATGACGTCATCACAGGGCGAGGGAAGTTATGTCGAAATAACTTTCGACCAATTTTTTAAGTAGAAAAAACACTGGACCGGAATTTATTACAGAATGAATACCTAGTACCTGCACTAGTTTCAATGAAATTATCACAGCATGTTTCATTTTTCTTTCAATCCCTCTTTCGGTGGCTTCAGCGGAAATATCTTTTTCGAAATTAAAAATGGCTAATTTTTTTTTAAGAAACACAGTGGGCCAATGCAGATTCTCTTTACTGGCTATTATCTCAATTGAAAATCAAATTGCCAGAAGCTTAGATGTGTCAAATCTTGTATCAACTTGTGTCCTTTGGAAAGCAAGAAAAAACAATTTTGAGATAAAAAAAATGGGCAATTTAATTTCTAATATATATTTTAATTATATGTATTTAGGTAGTTATTGTATTTTGTTTGTTTAATTCAGTGTTTCAGGTAGAATGATTTTTTTCTACTCATTAAGGTTGAAGTTTGTCATTTTCCCATCGCTGGCAGTGGATGAAATTTCATTTCACCCTCTAGTGGAAAAATACTCGGCCGTCTACGATTTTAACGGGTCGTCCAGCCTGAGCGTTTCGCAGCTAGCGAAACGTGTCGCGTATCGCCTGCACCGACCGCACCGTCCGCTTCGCGAGCTTCGAAAATCATGACGCCTAGGCTGGACGACCCGTTAGTGTTTGACGTTTAATACTGCTAGTTTACACAAGTGAAAACAATGAACATGAGTGAGACTGACGAAGTTTCTGAAGAAATTTTGAATGCTGCCAATGCGGCATTTTCGAATCTGATACCCGAAAAGTCTAAAAAGTTTTATGAGCTAACATACCGAAAATTTATGAAGTGGAGAGAGAGAAAACAATGCCGTTCATTTAATGAAGACGTTTTTGGTGCATATTTTTTTACTTTATTAGTGAATGCAGGCGGCGATATTATGATGTTAAAAAGACACGGTGGGTGGAAATCATCCACCGTAGCTGAAGGATACATCGACGAATCGTTATCTGCAAGAAAAGATATTGCAAACAGGTTGTTTATAGATAAACCATCAACTTCAACAAGTGCAGTTATTGATACAGGAAGCAGCCAACTAAGTTTAAACAAAGATACAAGTTCAAATAATACTTACGATAAAAGTGTAAATATTATTGGTGATAATTGCACAAATTGTTCTATTACAGTTAATGTATTTCAAAAATAAAATACCTACCATAAACAAACATTTATTTCCTAATTTCTTAGAAAAAATAGTATATGCAACTCGCGGATGAAGAAATTTCAACGGCTCGAGTTTCTTTTTCGCACTCGCTCGTTGCACTCGCTCGTGTGAAAAAATCACTCTCGCCGTTGAAATTCAACTTCATCCACTAGTTCCATAATGTACTATAATAAAATCCCTACTCATACTTTACTCATTATATGTATGTGCTCGTATTTTTAAATAATTTTTATTTCGCTGTTCATTAGGGGCCCCAAAGTGTCGGAAAACACAGGCCCGTACTTTGATTGTTACGCCACTGATATACATAATAACACTTCTTGTAAAATCACAAATTTGTTAAAACAACCAAGCGTACACATTGATGACGTCAGCAATATTTTTCCACTCGAGCAAGCTAATGAAAAACGGCAAACGTAGGAAATGTGGCGAAAACAGGTGTCCGTAAAACTTGAAATCCAAAAATGAAATTTGACTTTATTCGTTCGGAGAGATCGATTTAGTTTTCTGATGACGTCATTGTTAAAAAATAATAAAAAAATATCGATGTCTTCAAAACTCCGACATAAAAAAAAAATTTAAGTTGCCGATGCAATACTAAATCGACTTCTTGGAACACTTTCGTCAAATTTTATCTGAACCGATTTTTTTTTTTTTCAGATCCGTGTCTCTACATTCTGCGCTTCGCGGCCAAGCTCGAATTCGGCTCAAAAACACAACAGGTAGCCAACACTGCCCTCCGGCTCGTGCAAAGGATGAAAAGGGACTCGATTCACTCAGGACGGCGGCCCTCTGGCCTGTGCGGAGCAGGTAATCAATAACAATACTTACTTTATTAAATTTTCTCCAGAAACATTTACGTTTTCCACGTACCCAAATCGAATTACCGTGCGAACAACGTCGGCCGTTTTACTCCTTCAAAGAGCTCTGAGGAAATCTAAACCTTTGATTTTACGGTTGCAGCGCTCCTGATCGCGGCTCGTTTGCACGAATTTGGACGTTCGGCGAGCGATATTGTGAAGATCGTGAAAGTGCACGAGTCCACGCTGAGAAAAAGGTAAGAACGACAAATACCAACAAAATGTGTAGCTTGTTTACACAACCACGGGACTAGCTATACTGTTAATGTAGGTCGTGTATCAACAGAGATCTAATAGATATTAATTGTGAGTATTTAGCCGACTTAATAACGAAGAAGCAAGTATTTACATAGCAAGAAGAAATGTTGTTAGATTAATTTTGCTTCAATACAATAGTTAAACCGTGCTAGATTTAGTAGATATTAAAGAATATTATAATAGAATATTTAAATATCTAAATTTAACAGGAGCCAGTTTTTATTGCACCAACCAGTAGTTTGTCAAGATCTACTTGTTTATGTTCTACCCCTACAGACCTAAATAATTTTAACGATCTTCAAATCGTCAACAACAAATAATCGTAAACATTTCGTCAAATCATTCATGAATTATAAAAGTACAATGGGACCGCAAGGGAACCTTGCGAAACACCAAATGGAACATAAACGTTGAAATAAAGTTATCAATGCAAACTTGTTGGCACTATTTGTCTGACAGAAAAAATGTTAGCCACTTAAAATACCATCCGATGTTTCAAATACAATAAGCAAAGGCAAACAAACAACAGATTTATTATTTTTTATAAGAATTATTGCAACACTGTCAGGACCAGGAATACAGTTTAGAAATCTCATCGTAAACATCATATAATTTAATCTTTAAATCCGTGTCATTCACATAAGAATCAGTTTTGAAAGCATAAGCAAAGTTTTTAGAATCATTTCTTACATGGAAAATATACGTATTAACTGTATAACGTTAATTCCCCACAGACTTAAAGTTTAGTTTTGTCTAGATAATGCCAACGTGGTTGGCGAAAGGCGGCGACATTTTTTTTGTTTTTTTGATGTGGGGATTAAGTTCATATGTGGTAAAATATTAGCATCCCCACGTTTAGTGGAATCGTGACCAAAATTCATGTCGTTGTAGTACTCTCAAAAGTATATGTTCTGGAAATTTAGTATGAGTTACTATGGTGTCATTGGCATCTCAAATATATGCAACATATAGTCTTTCGCTGAGTTCCTTACGAGCTCTCAAAGATTCATGCGGCGGCACAATAATGCGTAGTAGTAAGCGAGGAAAGATAAGCTGTTCCGTAGTCTAGGGGTAAGGGCACCCGCCCGGCAAGCGGTAAACGTGCGGTTCGATTCCCATCGGAGAAGCAACATTTTTCTTCGCTTACCTACATTCGAAATACCAGTAGTCATGAAGTTTACCGGTTTTTTACTTCCCAGGCGTAAGCTAGAGAAGTATTGTAAAAGAGTACATTTTACGAATACTTAATTTCGGGTTTTCAGTACGTTTCACAACCCCTAGAGTATGAAAAATTTCTGACAGTCCGTTGTCTGTAGTCCTTTGGCAATATTATTAGATACATAATTTCCAAAACAGAGACACTTCTCCAACTAAGCCAAGCGACCACAAAATGTTATAATGCAAAATTGATGTTTTTTTGCGAAAATCCGGTTGCCTAGCGTAAAAAATCAAGGCGGATTCATAAAACCCAGGTACAAAAATATATTATATTATAAATTTGAATAGCATTTACTATGCAAAGTTTTGAAATGATGTCTTCATGCTGTTGGTATTGGTTAATCAGGTAACGTTTGATTAGAGTTTCTATCTACACAATATACCTACCATACATCTAAAACTCGACAAAAATCGGTCGACATAGACGACAAACAGACAACAGACGAAAACGGGAGACCTAGTTTTTCATATTCTACGTGTTATGAAACCTCGTGAAAACATGAAAGTAGCTGCCCATTGCATCATAAAATTCCGGAAGTCGTATCTTAGAAATTACAACTTGTGTTGTAGCAATCTTGTGTTTTAATACAATAACCCAAATTTTGCTTTGTTTTCATTTTCCCAAGTCAAGATACGACCTATTTTTCGGTCGAATTTGTTTTATCGACAAATTCTTGGGTAATTAGATCAGAAATTAAAAAGATTGGTCTAAGGTTATTTTGAAAGAACTTTCGTCGACAATGAAGTACAGTCAAACAAGTTAGAGCTTCGAAAAATTATGCTCCTAAAATTTAATTTTACGTATTTGACTTTTTACTTCCCAAGGGTAAGCTGAGTCCATCGTCCGAACTGCCACTTTTATAATTTCTCGACGTGTCATGGCCTCTAGAGTACGAAAAAAGTGGTCTCCCATTTCCGTATGTCTGTCTGTCTGGTGTCTGTATCCATTTTTATTAGACAAGTAATCTCCGAAATTACTGGACCGATTGTTCTCACATACTTATTGTATTAGGAATTATTAGATGGTTAAATGCTAACTAAAATTTCGCTAATCATCCCCACCACCAATGGAATGACGTCATCTGCAAAATTTATTATAAAAAGATCTTTTAAATTTCATAAAATAAGATACTTCTGCACTTGATATGGTGTGTGAATTCCTGTGTCGAATTTTCACCCTAAACCTTTAACCTTGAAATTACAAAACCGATTGCTCCGAAATCTTGTAAATATTTTAAGGTTAACGTAATCGTGGTAAATCATTAAACAAAATTTATTAGTTTATCCCCTCCCAAAAAATTGACGACGTCATTTAAATTTTTTCCGAATAAACCCTATCTAAAATGTGCAAAATATGATGAGTCTATACTATCATTGCATCACTCAATTTGGGAATACGTTGATCGGTGAATAAAATCGACGTGGGTTAAACTCAATAATTTATCTCTTAGTAACTCAAATTCACACGACTAATTATACAACGCTTACGTACAAAAATAATTCCTTGTAATAACAACTTGTCTGAACCAACTGAATAATAATCGTTCGCGAAGGTGGTCTCTATTTAAACCCATGCTTCATTCTAGATGTGCGGCGATCGAGGTCTTTCTGGAATACCAATCGCGAGTTCCCCTTCCAGGCTTTTCTGTAGCGAACGCCATCCGGCCGCGTCATCGACGATGAGTCATAAACGCCGTACATACCCGAACCCATGAAAGCGTCGCACCGGATCGGTGAATGGGTTTATTTCGTAACAATACTGTTATCATTAGTATTATCCAAAGTGCTATACGCTTCATTATATTTACTTTAACGTTACATACATATCTTTATTTATACTTATAATTTTATCGTTTTTCGAAAAAACCGGATTTCATTATATGTATTTCAGTGACGAAGGAAGTTCTGTCGAAATAACTTTCGACCAATTTTTTATGATAATTCCCATGAGTCAAAATAAAGCTATGTATCGACTGTTAAATTATAGGGAAAGAAGCATGTTATGTGTGTATTACAAGTGAGTTTTCCATAACAAAATTGTGTTATTACTTCATCATAACATTTTGCAAGGACACTTGTATCAATTCGAACAGGTGCAGCGTAATACTAATAACAACAATACTGCATTCTCAGAATTTCGGGAAAATATGTTGAGCCGTTTTTGATTTGATCAATAGAAAAAACCTATGGCCTGACTTTGATCCGCGGACCTCCCATCTAGAAAGCGGGCGCCAGACCACAAATGTGTTATGGAGGTTCGTATTAAGTGTCATAAGAACAACAGTTTAAACAATAGAAAAATATAATAATAAGACACAAAATCAAGGTAGATTTATAAACTACAATTACAGGAATATGTACTTTTACAAAATTTAAATGACTTTACTCAAAAACATTTCGCGCGCACGTTATCAAATTGTGGCTGAGGATGATCCATCTGCACGATACTCCTAAAAAATATAGAAAATTTGACGACAATCGATCAAGTAGTTTCGAAGATTCTAATAAAAATCGACACGGACGACAGACAAACGGAAACGTTTTCTAGGGGTCATGAAACGTCATGAAACATAAAAGCAGTCATTCACCGGATGGACTCTGTTATCATACTTCCTTAGCTTACGCTGGGGAAATAAAACTCATCCGGCAGAATATAGAATTTTTGGTTCATACTTATGGTTGATGTTTGTGGTTTTTGCGAGTGACACTTGTCAACAGATTATTATAACAGGGATTCATTTATGTATTTTAGTCGTTATTCTATGTATTATTGTTATTATTATAAAAAAAATAAGGGTCAAACTGTGCGTGTTCAATAGTTAAACTTGGACTCTCACACCTTGGAAGGAAGTATGTTTTAAACTGTTTTATGAAAGTCTTGCTGTCGCTGCTCGAATTCTCCCTGTCGCCTTACCCATGATTGATCCCGGCCCGTGCGTCCCCTAGCCACTCTCCAAAGCACACCGTGTTTACCGAAACACTTGACATTTCACATAACCCGATTGCGATTTCTCTTGTAGACTGATCGAATTCGGCGATACTCCGAGCAGCGCTCTGACGCTGGAGGAATTCATGACCGTCGATTTGGAAGAAGAGCAGGATCCTCCGTCGTTCAAAGCAGCGCGGAAAAAGGACAAGGAGCGCCTGCAAAGGGTAACACTCGAATTAGCGTCGTTTGGACGGCGATTTGTTTACACAGTTTTCTTTGGCAGCTGATGGAAGAGGAAGCGGAGAGTATCACGGAACTACAGCAGGAAATCGAGATTCAGCTGAATACGGACGCGAAGAAGAGGGTGCGGAAAAGTAAGTGGATCGTTAACCCAATTTCCGCGGAAAGAAGCGTTTTAAAACGGGCCGTGCCGTAGATTGAGTAGTGGAATCAGTTAATGGAAATTTTAGTTTCTGTTTTGTATTCGCTGATACAAGTATGCGGTTTTTGTTCATTTTATTTACATATTATCGCAAAATAAGCGTGCCGTCGATTCCCAAGAAGAAAAACAAGTTTTCAAACCTGTTCACCTCAAGCAGACAATATTGGTATTTTCATTTCACTGATAAAAAAAAATTAGCTAATGTAATTAAAATCAATGGAAAGTAACAACTTTGTTCCGCAACCATGTCGTTAATAAGTCAGAGAAAGGGTAAAGGACGCATGCTAGGTCCCTTAGGAACGCCGTAAGTTGGTTTAATAGCGTTTAATATATAATGATAGTATTTAATATCGCATTCTCTATTAAACTTCCTAAAAGCCACGATGTTGTTAATAAATAACAACAAAGGTAAAGGATTCTTGTATTCGTGTTAAATATGACTATAACCACCTTAATAAAAATCCAGGGAAATTGTAGGATCGCGATTTTTCAATATGGCCTAAATGTCTGCAAAGTGATTAACAAATAAAACGAAAAATAAGGACCCCAGACCGGAGCTCTGAGGGAGTACCTACGTCATTGGTGGTGTAAAAAGAATCAGCGATATCATTGCTATAAAAAAGAAGCTGAAAATATTTAAATTAGGTCCCTGAGGAGCACCGGAGACAAAGCATAAGAATGCAATTTGTCGAATAAAATAGAGTGATCAATTTAATTCGCTCAAGAGAGATTTGGAGACGCGGCCGACAAATAGCTTTGAATAACTAAACAGTTGTAATGTCGTTAAGTCATACGAGAATCGATAAAGGACTCAGAATGGATTCTTGAGGAACGCCAAGCGTTGGATTAATTAAGGTTGACGCAAACGTGGAGTAGATGTCATTAATAAATAAGAGAAACCGTGCAAGACCTAGAATGGATCCCCGAGGAACTCTGAAGTTAATGTAGTGACAAAGGCACGAAATTCAAAATTTTTATTTTCTAAAAGATACTAAGTTTGAGTAAACTGAACAATTCTAATCATTTTCAGACGATCTTTTCATCGTAGAAAAATAAAAGATTGTCACTAATAAATAAGGGAAATAAAAAATAATTTTAATTAGATCCCTGAGGAATACCAGAAATAAAGGAAACATGAAAGGTTTTAGAATATATCCTTGAGGAACCCTAGCAGATGAATTAATTAATTTTTAGATTGAAATTATTGTTTTCCGCTAAATATGAACTGGAAGTTGCTGATTAAGATTCAAATTGTTTATAATTTAAAAGTGTTTTAGGAAATTCGAAAAAAAAGTTTTTATTTACTGTTGTTGTTAGAGAAGTATCAAAGAATGGCATCGAGTGTCTTTAAGTTATGCCAAATGTCATGTTAATAATTTATAACAACTATTTTACGAAGCTGATAAATAAGACAAACTGAAAAATAAATTTATAGCAAATTTTTAGTGTTAACAATATTTATGACGTCGTTAATTATGTGAGAGAACCGGTAGAGGACTCCGAGTGAATTGTTGAGATTCCAGTCGATGAACTAATCGTACAAATACATGTAAACATAAATGGAATTTGGAATGGGTTGCAGTTATTAGTTATTATAAAGGCGTAATTAGTTATCCATAACATTATTAAATAAAAAAAAACACTAAATGCCCCAAAGTGGATGTCCAAGTGGCTTTTACACAAATTTTAACCGTTTAAAATTCATAGTCGTAATTTATTAAAGAATAAACAAAAATTAAAAATTGCGATATATAATTAGTCATTTTGTAATAAATAGAGATACAGAAAATTAATAAAGATTTAGATCAAACATAATGTGCTAACCCCTTATCACGAAGAGACGATACGGTCGCAAACTCGTGGTTGGGTCTCGACTATTGGGCCAAGTCGACGGCGTGACGTCATCCCGACCGCCCCTGACTTTTATTCTAGGCCTGCATCCTTTGTGCAGATGGCGCGACCGCCAGCTCGACAAGGAACCGCGCACTCCGCTTCCCCCACGTGTTATTGTGTTATTTACCTCAATTCCATTTAAATGGTCAATTTCTCTCAACTCTGATATCAAGTACACTCGAACAAGTATTAAAGTTTCAAAAAGAGCAATAAACAACATTTAAATTCGCCATACACTCTCGTAAAGCTTTTAAACAGCAAAGAATTCTTATCTGACATTAAGATTGGGCATCAAACAATTCATATGACGGAAGCATTAATCAACAAAATATTTACATGAAAAAAAAAAATTATTCAGCAGCCATTGTTTTACATTCCCCCAAACAAACACAAAAAAACATAGCAGGCGATCTGGAGGTTCAGGCGTCGTTAAAAAAATGTAAAAAATATGTCTCCCAGAAATGCGATCAATCTTGTGGCGCTGTGCATATAAAATGGTCTAACTCAAAGGAATAAAATACACGTCCCACATTACCACACATGTTGTTAATTTGTTCAACGAGATTTTACAATTCAAATATGTGCTCGGTTTGAAAATAAACTTTCAACATAGCTGCCAGAACAAAGAATTTACCTGATGTTAAATTATGCCACACTTTATCAACGATTCAAACAAAGAATTTACATTATGTTAAGTTATGCCACACTTTATCAACCATTCAATTGTGAGAAAAATTTCTGAAATTATTATGGCTTTTATGGCCAAAAGTGGAAGACTTACTAGCTGCGAAAAAAAAAATCGTAATGCCTAAAACTAAAATCATGTAACTTACAACGTCTAGAAAAGCAAGGTACGTCAAAATAGAATTTATGCAAAGATACATTTTTTGAAAACTTAAGAGCACAGTTATATATTTAACAGTTTGCTGATTATTGTCTTGTGAATGCATTTACGCATCTTTTTATACATTGCACATGACCACTCCAAAATTGATAAAGTTGTTTTTTTTTTAATTCCGAATAAAAGAGCTACTTCAGAATTATAATACTTAGACACTGATTTTATCTTGATAATGATCAAAATCGCATTATTCTCCAATACTAGGACTCAAATTAGTCAGTTTTATTATTTCCGCGTACTAATTGATCTATTGTAGATTAATGTAGATAAGAACTGCACTAAAATTTTCGCAGAAATCTTTTGCGAGAAACGTATTACCAGGTAAACAAAAAAAAACTTAAATGTTGTTTCGAGTGTGTATAATTTTTGTTTTGTTTTTTAATATATAGAGTTTTCTTTCAACAGCAGGATAATTAAACATGTTTTCAGTTTTTTGTTGTGAAAAGAAGTCTTCATACATTAAAAAAACAATGGACAAAATATAAGCCCCACCCACCCACCCCTTCTCAATTGTGATGAATGTTTTATTCATCGTGAGTTGAAGGGCGGAGTTTCGTTGCAAAATTCTCATTTCTCTACAAGAAATTACATATGAAATTCATCACAGTTGAGAATGGGGCGGGTGGGGGAATTAATTTTTGTTTTGTTTTTTAATATATATTGAGTTTTCTTTCAACAACCAAATAATTAAACATATTGTGAATTTCTTGTAGGGGAAAGGAGACTTCGTATACTAAGAAACAATGAACAAAATATAGGCCCCGCCCACCTACCCATTCTCAAGTGTGATGAATGTTTTATTCATCGTGAGCTGAAGGGCGGAGTTTAATCGCAAAATTCTCATTTCTCTACAGGAAATTACATATGAAATTCATCACAATTGAGACTTAATCTTTGTTTCGTTTTTTAATGTATAGAGTTTTCTTTCAACAACAGGATAATTAAGCATGTTTTCTGTTTCTTGTTGGGAAAAAAAGACTTTGTAGATTAAGAAAACATTGATAAGATATATGAGATTTTACAATTCAAATATGTGCTCGGTTTGAAAATAAACTTTCAACATAGCCGCTGCCAGAACAAAGAATTTACCTGATGTTAAATTATGCCACACTTTATCAACGATTCAAACAAAGAATTTACATTATGTTAAGTTATGCCACACTTTATCAACCATTCAATTGTGAGAAAAAATGTCTCGGTGATGTGATGATGATAACGATGATAACTGCCTAAAGAGAAAAATTTAATCCCCCCGTACCTCAGTTCACAATATTATGAATTCTAGCGCACTTTGCACGGTCCTTTTCCTAAAGTGGGACGACGTGAGGTTAATTTAACGGTCGTAAATGAACTATTAAATTTTGTCACCACAATGACAACGCAATTTTCAGGTCGTGTGTATCATAGTTTAATGAATAGTAATTTACACAACTAGTTCGGGATAGCCTGCTTCCCGCATGAACGCTTGTTTGCGGCACGACCGAAGGGAGTGCCGCATTTGCGTGAATGCGGGAAGCAGGCTCACGAACGTGTTGTGTACAATATTTTTTGCGACGAATAAACCTTTAAACTGAAGAGATTAACTGTGAGTTATTCATAAACAACGCCATTGACAGCGCCGTTAACACGTCACAATGTTGACACTACCCGAGTATTTTAAGGTTACCATGGCAACGGGAAGTTAAATGCACGTGTGCGGGAAATTCGACGTCCCGCACTCTGGTGAATGCGCGAAAGCTATCAAAAAAGGTCATGAGTGCAAAAAAATATTTAACGGGTTAAAACAAGTGTGGAAAGCGCTAATGAAAATCAAACAAATCAAAAGAAATGGAAGTTGCGACATCCTTAAGAAAGAGTGCTGTATAAAATCTATATATAAAAGAAAAATTACAATATCGCTGACAGACAAACAGATAACTCAGACGAGAACCAAATAACACCTGAAGAAAACACAAGTCTTTTGTAATTGCATAAAACAATTTTTTAATTAATGCTAAAGCATAAATTCAATTATGCATTTTACGAACAACATATCGTTTTCAGTTTTATTTACCTCACTCCTCAGGTACTTAATATCACAATGACCTTTTGCATCTGGCATTCCTACAGCCAACAAGTCGCTTTACGACACACCTCTTGCTCCCCAAGGCCACCCCGGCACCAAATTAGTCCTCACACTATACAATATTCAAATCAGTGAAAGTTCCTCCACATTTTTACATTCATCTCTGTTTCAAAAGCCGCCACATTCCCGAACACCGAAAACCCATCCCACGTGGAAAACCGGGCGGAAGACGTATCATCCGAGTGATTCTTCCGGTTCCCGTATTTACAAAAATCAAACGCTCGTTCGCCCTTTTATTTTCGTTGAGTCGGTGTTAATTAAGTCGCTCGAGGCAACTTTTTTCATGTTTCAGAGGACAGAGATGCGGAGGAGATCCAAGAAACGAACAGGTTCATCCAGGAGTCGACGATGGGCACGATCAACCAGATCATCCAGGAGGAAGTGGTGGAGGATCCGGGAGACGCGAAGCAGCCGGTCAAAGAGCTAGGTAGGTGGAAGGAGGCGGTTTTATGAGGTCGTAAATGCGAAGTGATTTCTTTAGTTTGGATAACTGTAGAGGTCTAGGAAATGATGACATCAAGGATCAAGATGTTTTTGTTTGTTCTGTAGTACGTGCACCGTTTGTGCTTTTTCGTGCGAATTTTGATTAGGTGTTTCTAAAAATCTGCGCCAGGATGAATACTTGAATTTGGTAGTTCCACGATTTTTTTTTCTAATGATAAGTGCTTTTTTGCGAAAATGACAATGATCATGCAATTACATCTAAATTTCTCTTTTCAAAAACGGATGTAGTACAGGGCTCTAATTTAGACCCACCGTTTTTCTTGTTATATATCAGTGATTAATTAGTGACTAATTTAATTTTAGTCTGAAAGGTAGTTATTTATCTGTGTGTTAACCCTTGTTGTATCCCCATCGACGAGCCGTTTCCAAGACCTGGTCATCCGACGCCGCCCCCGCAAATTTACCCACCCATAATGACGAAATCCACTTATCTCCTTAAAATGTAATTGGCGTTCGTGTTTTACAATATTGGCTTACAAATATCGTGAACATCCCGCATTATGGATTATTGTTTACACCGCGAACACTTTGACAGCAATTAATCATGTTATTCTCGTTATCATTTTAGCATGGGTTTTACGTTTACGACGCATCACTCGTTCCACATAATTTGTTTTTATTGGCAATTTTGATAAAACGGCTCTCTTACAACTCCGGCGTCACGGGCGAATTTAAGCCGTCGCTCGATGCCGCTTCAAATAGTGCTACGTCCGGTTTTTAAGTTTCATATTAAAAAATTAATATTTACTCGCGGAAATCCTCGCCGGAGCTTGTTTGATTTCATAATGAATTTTGCTGCTTCTTTTGCGGCGAAGAGCTTTCTGGATGTTTTCGGACGGGTGGGAGGAATACGGTGATCGGGGATCGAAATTCTGAATTATGGAGTCAGACGGGATGTAGTTAGATCCCGGTTGGATGAATAACATTTTCGTATTGATGTATGAGTAGTTGTGGCGGTGCAGCTCCACGCTTGAGTTGCGTTTCGTTGCGAAATGTGCTGAAAAATGTGGTAATTAGGCAAAAGTAGCGTACGTTTTCTGTAAAATGGCATGTTATAAAAGTTGAGGAATCGATACTCTAAAAAATTAATTAGCGAAAAAATCAATCAACAGTTGCGACGTGGAGGAACAAGATATTTCTTAAGATATTTTTAAAAGCTTCCAAAAAAATTTAACACTCAAGGAAACCAGCGATGACGTGATAACAGCAGTCAGCTTGTTAAAGGAAAATTTACAATTATCAGAAGTTGTCGAACTTGAGAAAACTAGAGCAAGTTCAAGAGACACGAGTGTAAAGTATCTGTAATTTGTTTTCAAATTTCATTCAATTTTAGAACTTGTTGGGGTTGGGATTAACATTTATCATTAATTACTGTTGAATCTCATATTTTAATAATTATATTGTTTAATTCGATTAATATACAGGCTGGTCAAAAAATTAAGGATAAGCTCGAAAAAAAAATGGTTAAAAAAAATCCCTGGACCAAACTTTTGAAAAAAATTAACTTCAAAGTTAAAGAATTAACTCCGTAATACTGAGTTGTTTTAATGAACTGCATGTCTAATAGACAGTTATAACTAATTAATTATTAATAATAATTTCCTAGAATAAGATCCACAATGTCATTTTTACTGTACAGTTATTTACAAATACACAACACGATAGGATTGTATTTTTTTTATGGAACGTCTGTATAATTTTACCTCGATTTAAATACTTTACCAAAAGCTCTTTAAACAACAATTCTCGCGCCAAAAAACGTCAGGCGTCTTCGAGATTTTGTCAAAATTTTTGAAAATAAAAACCAGGATTCTTGAAGTTTCTTTAAAATTGTTTTAAAAAATTTGATTCTTTTATTGTTGATAGTAATTCCTATACAAAATGTCCCAGATAAAACTCGCGCCCCTATATCTTGAAAACGGATAGAGATATTGAAAATTCTGTGAAAGCGTGAATTTAGTCCATTGCAAATATGACATTATAAAAGACTTGCATTTGGCATTTTGCATTTAGGACAGAAGGGTTCTGATGGTCCAGCATCACAAGCATATCCGTTTAAACCGTCTCTCCACAAGTACAGACGTTGTAAAATTTATTTCATTATCAATGAGAATAGTGCTATCTGCGCAATATGCGTAGTATGTAAAATGTTGATGTTTATACATCGGAAGAATGTCACGTAGACATTTGTTTGATTTGAATGAGTTTATGGCCTCACAACACATGACTAAAATTATTCATAAGCCTCAATTGAACAAAATATTCTGAATGTTATTATTATGATTCTTACCTTATTATTATTTTTTTGTATAAAGACGAGCGTATTCTCACATTGTCGCTGGTTCTTAATTAGATCAATAATAAATTGACTGAATCATTATTTTTTTTGAGTCACCCTGTATAAGCACATCTAAAAAGCATGAATGCAGTAATAAATTACAAGTACAGTCTAATCATATTTTGCACATTTTCGAAAGGATTTATTCGGCAAACTTTTGAGCTGACATCATCAATTTTTTGGAGGGGAGAAGTAAATATATCCTTATTTTTAATTTATCATCACTTTGAAACATCTGCAAGATTTCAAAGCATTCGGTTTTGCAAATTAAAAATTAAGTTGCAAAATGTTGTTTTATAATTTTGATTTTTTGTACAAAAATCTGGACGTTTCGGGTAAAAACTCAATACGGAGTCATAAAGTACAGGTGTATGACTATGTTATTTTATACAATTTAAAACCTATTTACTGTATTTACTATGTACAATTTCGAAGTGACGTCATCACATTATTGGTGGGGGTGATTAGAAAAAATTTGGTAAGCGTTTTACCATTTACATGATATCCCTAATATGAATACAAAATTTGACAACAATCGACCCAGTACTTTCGGAGATTATGTGTCTAATGAAAATCTGGGACGACAGACAGACGGACAGACAGGCAGACGGAAACGGGAGACCTATTTCTTCGTATTGTAGGTGTCATGAAAGGTCGGGAAAACGTAAAAGTAGAGAGTCGGCTCCTTCACTTACGCTCGGGGAGTAAAAAATTAATCAAAAGTAGAGCATTTAGTGTCCGTCATTCATAAATCACGGCCTTCGCCTTTTATTGAGTACAGATTTCAACACTTAAAAAATTCGGAATGTACAAGTACAGCGTCGGTTGTTTATAAAATACGGCATTCGTTTTATTTCGACAAAACTTTCCTCGCCCCTGACGTACAATAAAACATCCATCTCATCAGAAAAAGTATAAAATTTGATTTTGAGAATTTTATTTTCTAATAAATTAAACTAAATATATGTATGTAATGTTAAAGTGCTATACGTATGTTTCAAATGAATTTTTCCTTTATAAAATTTTGTGATGACGTCATCAACACGAATATCAGTTTAGATCGGTGTAATACTAATAATAACATATTAATTTTCGATAAAATGGAGTAAGTCGTTCCTGATTTAATCAGTAGAATAAATTGACTCATTCACTATTTTTTTTTGGGTCACCCTGTAGAAGCAATTCTAAAAAATATTAATGCAATGATAAATCACAAGTATACGCGGATTCAAAATTAAATTGCAAAATGTTGTTACACAATTGTGTTTTTTTTTTACAAAAATCTAGCTGTCTTGGGTAAAAATTCAACCCGGGTTCATAAACTACATCTGCAGGACCGTGCTATTTTATATAATTTAAAACCCGTTTGCTGTGTACAATTTTATGGTGACGTTATTGTTGATGGAGATGATTAGACAAAGTTTGGTTATCGTTTTACCGTCTACATTATCACGAACGGACAGACAGACGGGTGGAAACGGAGACCTACTTTTTCGTACTCGTGGGGCCACAACACATCGAGAAAATACGAAAATGTCCATAAAGTAAAGGCGGATTCATGAACTACAAAGATAAAATTATGTTATTTTATGAAATTTAAATAAATATGCGATTTTGAAGTAACGTTATTATATTGTTGGTAGGAACGATTAGACAAATTTTTGTTAGCGTTTTACCACAGCATAGATATCAATCAGTAGAGACAGCTCGTGTCGGCGCCTTTGTTCTTCCTGACCCGAATTTTAAGCCGTCATGGGTGGTCGTTGCCTAAACTATTCCTAGATGTCGCCACCCAATTTAAAAAGTATCACTTGATTTACAATTTCAAAAATTGATTCGTGTACGCAATTTATTGCAAACTGTCTAGTTTGCTCAAATCGTATAATCGTGAATCGCAATAAGAAAAAAGAAAAGTCGATATTTAATTTATAAACACGATCATTTGTTACAGTTTTTATTTTATTACTTATACAATTTGACAATTCGCAGATTCTTTCCCCGAATACTTGAGGTTTAATTATCATTGTAAAAATAATGTAATAAATTCATCTAAAAAGAAAGAGGTTTATTTAAGAAAAAATAAATAAAATAAAAATTAAATTACAAAAAGGAAAAAAGTTAAGGCTGCCAAATTATTTTTTTTCTATTAATTTTTTCACCTTTGGCATTTGTAAATTTAAAGCTAGCATTTACAAATTTTAGTGCATAAAATAATCTCATCCTAGCATACAAAGCAAGCAAATAATCGTATGGAAAGTTTTGGCATGGATGAACAAATGTAGCTTGCTTATATAAATTTAAAAATTTTAACAAAGTAGTTGTTTGTAAAATTATATTTTCAAAATTTTCACTAAAATTTTGCTCTAATTCACAAATGTAAAATAAGAAATTATCGTTTGGCATATATAATTTACCAAATAACTCGCAATTCTTCGTTTGGTAGGCCCTGAAATGTGAATATATGCTTGTGTAATTACTTTATACAAGAAGAAATATAAAAATAAGAACAGTACCTGTTAAATTGTTTAATAATTTCAAAAATTTTACGAAAAAAACGCATTTTACCTAACAACTTAACCCGTAAGCGTAATATCATATAAAGTAAAATTTTTATTTAAAAAAAATTATTACAAAAAAAATACATATTTGTCGACTCGCATAAAGTGCAGGTAATTGGTATGGGTCGACGCAGGTAAGAATAATTAAAGAATTCATGAAACCGGAAGTCCATAGGGATTAAGCGAAAAAAGATATTTGACAAAATGTACGGTTTGGGTCATTTTTACCCACGCGCGACTGCTTAAGGGTTAAGCAACGTCTCAAAATAAAACTCAAGATTGTGTAAGTCAAAAAAAATATATATATACATGATGAATAAAAAAATTGTTTATTGAGTGAAGGTCTGCTTATATAATTTTTTGTTACGTGTAGTTTGTTTCTTATTATTTTTATATTTAATTTTACCACAACAACGGAATCATATATAATAAATTTTTATTATTTATTTCATAACCACCGTTGTTGTTCGTTTGCGACGACTTTTTAAACAAAAAGTGTGTTATGTTTACTATCTTTTCCAAGAATTCCAAACACGAGGGAGAGAATAAGGCGCACAACAGGGATCCTGTATGAAAATTCATCGGACAAAGATTTTACCTTTTATTGTGAAAATCACATTTTTATACTATTTGTACAATTCTACCGGAAAAGCAGTCTTAAACAAGCAAAACTGGCAAAAATATTGTAACAAAACTGCCAAATTTCAAATATTTTAGACGTCAGTTGGGCGCCCTCATTCGGTCATAATGCGAACGACCACCCACGGAAACGGGTCACGAAAAACGGCGAGCCGTCTCTACTGATTGTTATCTATGCTGTGGTTTTACTAACTACGTGATATTTGTAAAATAAATAAAAAAATTGAGAACAATCGGTCCAGTAGTTCCGGAGCTTATACGTCTAATAAAATCATCAACAGACGAAAATAGGGTTATGAAACGTAAAAAAACATGAAATTAACCATCGAAAGGATCCCATTACAGTACTTATTTAGCTTACGCTTGTGAAAGAAAAAAAAAACGCTTTTGATGAATAATTTCTAAGATATTTAGATTTTAATGTAAAGACCTAGTCATACTTACAAATTCACAGTAACACCATTTTTAAAAAAGAAGGTTTGAAATTTCACAGTTTCAAATAGGTAGTACAAAGGCTCAAACAAGCTCTAAACTTCAGCAAAAAGAGGCGACAGAAGACAGACAGACTGATAGACAGATTGATAACACATCAATACAATTTAAACGGTTTATATATTGTTTGGTTATCATCAATTTACTAGCACGCATCAAAAACAAGAACAAATTTAATATAACGCTGAGAAAACAATGCAATTTGCTTATTTATCTGTAGAAAGACGAGACCTTTGTGTACTAAAATACGAGAGATTACATTATTATTCTTTACCTTTGCTAGACGCTGAACAGGAAAATCTTACCCAACATGCCATTTACCCTAAAGCGAAAGCCCTCAGTGTATTTTCCATGAAAATCGCGGTGTTGATTGATCTATAAATGTCAAGAGAGGGTGTAAGTTAATTTAGAAATTTATTTTTAAAGGGGCTTTAAAGTGTTAAATTAAATAAGAGAATACAGTACGCGTACACTGTCCTATTTTAATAAAAACACAAACGCCCAAAGTTCGTCGGAAAATTTAGATTTAGGTTATCCGTAGCGAATAAATTCCGTAATTTGTTCGATAAAGCTATCTAGCGTTCTGCTGTGGGAACGACGCTTTATTAGTTCAATAAAGTAGCGTTGAAACTCTCACCAATTCTGAACGGAGAACACTGCAAATAATGCAACTGAACCGGTGTTTGCAATTTGTTCTTACTTATCTTGTTAATTCCAATCTGCTTATAAACGGTTCCGGATCATTGGGTTGTAATGTTTTAAGCATTCGTGTGCACTATCTCCGGGATTAGTTCTTGTCGTTACGTTATAAAATATCTTCATAGTTAGTTAAAGAAAGGTTAACTTAGACCGAAGCAACTTTTGTAAGCAAAATTCAAATAGCGTAGACCTGACCGTGCAAACAAGTCCGAGAGTGACCAAACCGTGTATCGCGTGTCATTAGGAACTCACACGTGCAAACTGTGTCTTAAGATAAATTCATAATTGAAGTGGTTTTGCCTCATTTGCAACCAATCATCTGTCCTAAATTTTTAAATTTTGTTGTAGGCGTCGAAGCATCCTACAATGAAAAATTGATTTTCTGGTTGAAGTAACGACGAAGTGATAGGCCAAAGTTTGCTCTTTAAGTATGCGAACTTGACAAGAAAAAATATTTTCATCCAGTATTTAAATAGAAATACATGGCAAAAATTTCAGATATAATTATAAAATTCAGTCCCATGGACTAGCAGAACAGGTGCGCTGAACCCTCAAAGCTAAAAAACCAGCCCTCTTTCACGTAATCATGTTCATAGCAGAAATTGCAAAAACAGCTCGCCGCGCTCGCCTAAAGCACTAAACCACTCCGCAAATTTTATTTCAGGTCCCGACATCGCAAGCATGGGCCTCGCCAGCTCCCTAGACGACACCTCCAACGCAGTCCAGCCGCATTTGCCCCTCGAGGTGGATTTAACGTTCGACGACATCGACGACGAAGAACTCGACTCCTACATTATGACGGAGCACGAATCACAAAGTAAAAACGCCATTTGGCTTAAGCGGAACGCCGCCTTTTTGGAGGAGCAAAAAAGTAAGTGATGCGTTATTAAAATTCCACCCTGCATTATTTTGTACCAGAATCGAATCAAGCGAAAGCATATATTATCCGGCGGAGGCGGTGCAAAGATAGCTTCGGCAATTAAGTCAAAGCCGAAATGTCAGTGTGACTTTTGACTGCAAGCGAATCATTCAAAATAAAATTTGCAGAACTGCGTTTATTTTGTGGATTAATAGGGAACGGTTGTGTGCACAGGCACGTGTAATTAAATTAATTCACTCCGGGTTGTATGCACAAGACTGCATCGCCAACTCCAGTTTTCTAGAATTTACACAAGCATCCGAGCTTAATGCAGCGTGATAAACCCAAGTTGCACCGTGCTCGTAAGTTACGGTTAAGCAACAATAAGAAGGTCGTCGAGGAAGTAAACACCTGCTAAAACACAGGTTGTGGATTGCACGTTCTGGAATTATCCGTCGATGCACTGGCGTAACTACCGGTGGACCGCCTTCTAGGAGCTCGGCCCGGTCCAAGTAGCATTTTTTCTTTTGAGCATTGATCTGACCTGACCTGGCCTGACTTTCACCCAGAATCATGAAAATGAAATATGACGAATTTTGAGATAATTTTCAAAAATTGACTTTGTTGTACCCGAATATTTCAAAAACCAGGGGCTGTATCCACTTTGATTTGTTTTCCCTGATAGACATTGCAGTCCTGCACGCACACGTCTTTGTCAACCCAGAATTTCTGGAATCGTTACAATGTTGTTCCAGAATGGTGAAAATACTCGTAAAATGTGAGAAAATTGAAGATAAAAATGTGACTTTGAACACGAATATTTCGAAAACTAATCGCTATACCGACTTTGAAGTATTTTCGCAAATGTACTTACATTCTTGTTCAATCACAATATTTTTCATAATTTTGAACGATGCAATATTTCCGGAGTTGCCCTTAACAAAAATGTTACGATTGTTCCGGTACTTTCGGTGTTCGTCTGCAATCTTAGTCCGGGAACCGGGACCATCAATACGCTGTGTTTTTCGACCCAGCTCTTCTAAATCTATATTCCATATTTTTTGCGGATTTTTAGAGAACTAACATCCGGCTCGAAGGACTAATGTGGAAACTGACGATAATTATTATTTGTGGAATGGAAGATGCATTGTCAGTACATGGGTTCACTTTTAGTTAAGTTCATGTCATTATTTTTCACACACCCGACAGGAGCCGAAATCCCCGAGTGGTTTCATACAGTATCATTTCTTCCCAAACGCGATATTTTTCATAATTTTTGGCCACCCAGGTTCTGGCGTTGCACTAAATATGTCCTTAACAATGTTAGAATTTGCGCGGGTAAGGTAACTTAGCAATAACCTCCCTGAGAGGGATTTATTGTGAAGAGGTCAAAATTTTTGACCTCTTCACAAGCAGCGTCGAAAACAATCAAAATAATTTCTTTTGTTGATTTGCACTCACCCTTAAAATTCGTACCATTTTTTCAAAATCACCAAAATGAAAAAAAAAATTGGTCTAAAGAGTTTAGACAGTACTTCCCTCGCTGTCGGAAACTTGACGACTGCATGCCTATTGTGTTTTTTTTCTCATTACATTTTTGTAGTGGGAATTTAAAAAAAAATTGCGATGACGTCATCAACATTTTTGCAAGGACACGTATATCAGTTGGGATAGATGTAGTGTAATACTAAGAATAAAATTATTATATTCTCAAATTTTCGGGAAAATGAATTGGGTCGTTTTGAATATTGATTTGTAATAATCAATAAAATAACGAAACAATTTACTCACGTATACGTATCAGAGGCAACTGAAAATCGTGTATGTGTAAACATTCTTAATTTAAGATGACAGGCGTAACAGCATACGTGAGAGTCAAACAGAGAAACTGTAAACAAAACGACCATCGGTTTTATTGCTTCGACTTCCGCTTATTATATAAAACATTGGGTTTTGTTTTAATTCTTGACGGTGAAATTCACAATTGGTTGATTATAAACATGTCTATTTCACATTCGCGGAACCAAGTGAGCGCATAAAACAAATGCAGGTCTGTAATGTTAAAGTCGATGTAAATAAGCGTGCTACCCTTATGTTTCAACCGAGTTTTTCCTTTAACAAATTTTGTGTCTACCAAATTGGGTTGGTTGGGGTGTAATACTAATAATAAGTGTTGCCTTTAATTTAATTAATAAAATAAATTGACTTCATTAATTTTTTTGAACCACCTCTTAAGAAAATCTAAAAAATATGAATGGAATGATAAATCACAAGTACAAACTCATCATATTTTTTGCATTTTAGATAGGATTTATTCAGCAAAATTTAAGGGTGACGTCATCAATTTTTTTAGGAGGGATGAACAAATACATTTTGAACAAAAGTTTACCATGCTTATAATAACTTTAAAATATTCCCAAGATTTCAAAGCATTCGGTTTTGTAATTCCTGATTAAATCGATAAAATAAATTCACGCCTTCATTAATTTTTTTGAGTCACCCTGCATATGCAAATCAAAAAATATGAATGGAATGATAAATCACAAGAACAGACTCATCATGTTTTGTACATTTTAGATACGATTTATTCGGCAAACTTTTGAGCTGACGTCATCAGTTTTTTGTAGAAGATAACCAAATATATTTTGACTAAAAATTTATTATGCTCTTTATAACTTTAAAACATCTGCAAGATTTCAAAGCATTCGGTTTTGTAGTTCCTGATTAAATCAATAAAATAAATTTACGCATTCATTAATTTTTTTGAGTCACCCTGTATATGCAAATCGAAAAAATTTGAATGGAATGATAAATCACAAGAAGAGACTCACCATATTTTGTACATTTTAGATAGGATTTATTCAGCAAAATTTTGTGGTGACGTCATAAATTTTTTAGGGGGGACGACCAAATACGTTTTGATCAAAAATTTACCATGCTTATGATAATTTTAAAATATCTTCAAGATTTCGAAGCATTCGGTTTTGTAGTTCCTGAGTAAATCAGTAAAATAAATTTACGCTTTCATTTATTTTCTTGAATCACCCTGTATATGCAAATCGAAAAAATATGAATGGAGTGATAGATCACAAGTACAGACTGATCATATTTTGTACATTTTAGATATGATTTATTCGGCAAATTTTCGAGCTGACGTCATCAAGTTTTTGGAGGGGATAAGCAAGTATATTTTGACTAAACATTTATTATGCTCTTTATAACCTTAAAACATGTGCAAGATGTCAGAGCATTCCGTTTTGTAGTTCCTGATTAAATCAATAAAATATATTTACGCATTCATTAATTTTTTTGAGTCACTCTGTATATGCAAATCCAAAAAATATGAATGGAGTGATAAATGACAAGTACAGGCTCATCATATTTTGTACATTTTATATATGATTTATTCGGCAAACTTTCGAGCTGACGTCATCAAGTTTTTGGAGGGGATAAGCAAATATATTTTGACTAAACATTTATTATGCTCTTTATGACCTTAAAACATCTGCAAGATTTCAGAGCATTCGGTTTTGTAGTTCCTGATTAAATCAATAAAATATATTTACGCATTCATTAATTTTTTTGAGTCACCCTGTATATGCAAATCCAAAAAATATTAATGGAGTGATAGATTACAAGTACAGACTCATCATATTTTGTACATTTTAGATATGATTTATTCCACAAACTTTTGAGCTGACGTCATCAAGTTTTTGGAGGGGATAAGCAAATATTTTTTGACTAAAGATTTATGATGCTCTTTATAGCCTTAAAACATCTGCAACATTTCAAAGCATTCTGGTTAGCAGATTAAAAATTAAATTTCAAAATGTTGTTTTATAATTTTGATTTTTTTTCCAAAAATCTGGACGTTTCGGGTGAAAAGTCGATTCAGAGTTGTAAACTACATGTGTAGGACTATGTTATTTTATACAATTGAAAACCCATTTACTATGTACAATTTTGAAGTGACGTCATCGCATTAGTGGTGGGGATGATTAGACAAATTTTGGTTAGCGTTTTACCATCTACATGATATTCTTAATATAAGTACAAAATTTCACAACAATCGGTCGAGTACTTTCGGAGATTATCTGTCTTATAAAAATTCGGGACGGCAGACGGACAGACAGACGGACGGACAGACGGACAGACGGACAGACAGACGGAAATGGGAGACCTATTTCTTCGTCTTCTAGGGGTCATGAAAGATCGAGAAAACGTAAAAGTAGAGAGTCGGCCGACGGACTCGATTACAATACTTCCTTTGCTTACGCTCGGGAAGTAAAAAGGTATAACAAATTTTTAAAGTTTGAGTTTGCTTGCATTGCTGCTCGAACACGATATTTTTCATAATTTTGGGCCATCCAGTATTCCAGAGTTGTCCCTAAACATGCCCTTGGTAGAAGTGTTACGATTGTTCCGGGATTTTCAATGTTCGCCTGCAATTTTAGTCCGGGACCATCAACATCCGCTGTGTTTTTCGACTCAGCTCTTCTAACTCTATATCCCATATTTTTTGTGGATTTTTGGGCAACTTCGTGAAAAATTCAATTTTTGTCCTCGTATGAAATTTTTAACCATCGACTGAAAGTACCAGAAGAATTTCTTCTGCTGATTTCGACCTCTAGAAGTTTTTTACGGCTTTATTTCTTCGAAAATTCTTACAAATTTCCAATATTTGGTCCTGATTTCAAATATTCGAAAACTGGTCTCCGTATCGAGTTTATATTTTTCTCCCTGATAGACGTTTCATTTCATTCACAAATGCGATTTTTTCAGTCTGTGGTCACCAAGGTTTCAGAAATTGCACTAAATATGTATATCCGTAATAAAACTGCTTAGGTAATTTAGCCAAAAGTAAAATTTTTAGGGATTCATTTTTTCGCAAATTATTACCATTTTTCTAAAATTATCAAAATGGGATATGACACATTTTGAAGATTTTAAAAATTCGAATTTGAACCCGCTACGAAACTCCGTGAGCGTACTGTGACGGTCCGAAGTTTCGCCGATATCGCGCGAGGGTGGCGTACCTCAGTGCCAAGCCCTCGGCCGACTAGTGCCGTTAAAGACAAACACGTCTGGCCGACCTAGGCTTTGAGGTCACCTTCGCAGAGGTGGAGCCTTCGGTCGGGAGCGATGGTGCTCTGGCGCGAAAAAAAAAAGCGGCGGAATTTTTCTAACAATCGGGTTTTTCCCTGCCACCAGCTACACGGCTAAAATAATCTTATGGTTAATTTTTAAAAATATAAAACAACAATTCGGTTTGAACTATGTATTTACAAGAAAAAAAAAACAAAATGTCCGACACGGTCGTTCCCTCCTGGACGGCGACTTCCTTCGGGATGACTCCTCCTAGACTTGGGGGCGGCTATCCTGGAACGGGAAATCGCACGAGACGGTAAGGCGACACAGGAGGGGAGCGCGTCGACGGAAAACAACGGTTTCGGTTTCTTGTGGCTAACGGGAGAAAAAAACTGTGACGGCGGTACGGTTTTTTGCTCGGAGGAGGCGATTCAAAAACTGTTCGCAAACAGGCAGAAAACCCAAAATGGTACTTATGGTAGTCGGTCTCAACTGGGTGTTTTGCACTTCTCAAAAACTATTTTAAAAACAGCCACAGCACTTCTCAGGCTAAAACTCGGAAAAGAAATCCCTGTTTCCGGGCCGCGAAAATTCCCTTCGTTACAGTATCTACTTTGGAATATTTTTCCTCATACACGTTGCATTCCTGCTCAAACACGATATTTTTCATAATTTTGGGCCACCCAATATTTCCGGAATTGCTGTGTTTTTAGACTCAGCTCTTCGAAATCTTTCTCCCATATTTTGTTGTGAATTTTTAGGTAACTTCGCTAAAACTGAATTTTTGTCCAATGCCTCTTTCAATGAAATTTTCAACCTCTTCCCAAGCACCACCTAAAATTATTAGAACTTCTTCTGTTGATTTCGTCCTGTAAAAGTTTTTTACGGCTTCATTTCTTCGAAAATTCCTACAAGTTTCCAATATTTGGCCTTCAATTCGAATATTCGAAAACTGGTCACCATATAGAATTTATACTTTTCTCCCTGACAGACGTTCTAGGAAATGGGTTGATTAAAACACAATTGTCCTTAAAGTGCGTGTATTAAAAATGCGATCCGTTCGTTTTAAAAGCTTATTACGAACATGGGGGTGGCGTACCTCAGTGCCAAGCCCTCGACCGACTAGTGCCGCTGAAGACAAACACGTCTGGCCCACCTAGGCTGTGAGGTCACCTTCATGCCTTAGGTGAAGCCCTAGGTCGGGAGCGGTGGTGGTCGGACGCGGGGGAAACAAAACGATGGAATTTTTCTAACAATCGGGTTTTTTCCCTGCCACCAGCTACACGGCTAAAAAAATGTTATTGCTAATTCTTAAAAATATAAAATTATAATTCGGTTTGAAGTACAAGAAAAAGAACAAAATGTCCGGCAAGCTTGTTCCCTCCTGGACGGCGACTTCCTTCGGGATGACTCCTCCTAGACCTGGGGGCGGCGACCCTGGAACGGGAATCGAGCGGAAAACGACGTGTACTCAACGGTTTCGGTTTCTTGTGACTAACGGAAAAAAAATTGGTGACGGCGGTAAGGTTTTTCGCTCGGGGGCAGCGATTCAAAAACGGTTCCCAAACAGGCAGACAACCCAAAACAGTACTTACGGTAGTCGGTCTCAACAGCCACATCACTTCTTTTCAGGCCAAGACTCGAAAAGAAATCCCTGTTTTTCCACCGACCTCGTCCCAGTTTCCGGGCCGCGAAAATTCGCTTCGTTACAGTATCTACTTTGGATTATTTTTCCTCCTACACGTTGCATTCCTGCTTAAACACGATATTTTTTATGGTTTTGGGCCATCCAGTATTTCCGGAGTTGTTGTGTTTTTAGACTCAGCTCTTCGAAATCTTTCTCCCATCTTTTTCGTGAATTTTTAGGTAACTTCGCTAAAAACTGAATTTTTGTCTAATACCTCCTTCGGCTTTATTTCTTAGAAAATTCCTACCATTTTCTCAGAATTTCCAAAATGAAATCTGACACCTTTTGAGATATTTTAAAAATGTGACTTTAACCCCAAGTATTTCAAAAAGTAGTTGTTGTATCGATTTTCGATTGTTTTCCCTCATACAAGTGGCATTCCTTTTCAAACACCATTTTTCTCATAATTTTTGCCATCCAGTATTTCCGGAGTTGCGCTAAATGTGTGCAACGATTGCTGTGGAATTTTCAATATTGCCCTATTGGTCATTGTAGGGCCACTTCCCCATAAGTTGCTCAATTTTTTACCTCTTGAGTATCGTTAAAAATTACCAAAACAATTTTTTTATTGATTTAAACCTCCGAAAGTTTTCTACACTTATGGGCCCGATAGAGCCACGGAAATCAGGTCCGGACTTACATTGTAACGCCGCTACGCCAGCGGTTTAGCAATATTTTGCAATTCATCCGTTTCGTGCAATTTACTTAGCTAAAAGGCTTTCTTACATACGAAAACGCCTTTGTGTTATGTCATACATTCGCTAGCGATCATCGATTATGTCTGCGTCGGCTGAGCTACTGATTAATTGAATTTTACCCTTCCGGGAAGTTCCAGTTGGCACATACACAAATTGGACGCGATTTAATTCAGATATACATAAATCATTGAAAATTTAGAGACAGGTGAAATGTGTAACGATTTTGAAATCATACTTGGATGAAATTGGATTCTTTACATATTTTTATTCCTGTGACAATATGCAGAAAAGTTCCTACGCCGGACCACCACCTAATTTTTATTTACATTTAAACATACATATATATATAGGTAATCAAATCGTTGCGCCCAATTTGCAGCTCTCTTAGTGCTACTATATCGTTTCCGCAGGTAGAAGTGACGTAATTACTTCCTCTGATTGCACCGTTTGTTCCCTAACCGAGCAAAACCACCGGTAATGCATACTGCATTCTCGTTGAACATCGCACGGTAAAAAACACCGAACCCAGCTACAAGAAGACTAGGACGGTACATAATGGCCATTAATAAATATGTCACTTGCAAGAGATCTAAGTCTGTAATTAGATTGTGCATTTCAGCTCTTGGAAATCCGATTCTCTACAACATGCTGTGAATAGGAGCTCTATGGCTTTGTAATTAAGTGATTTAACTAATTTGCTTGTAAGTAATTTAGGCGGCGCTTGGTAAATCCCTAATAAATGATCATTTGTTCTTCGCTAACGAACGTCACGGCAAGGTGAAGTTTTAAAATGATAAATTAATTTTTTCCCGCTTTTAATTGATTTTGTATTAAATACACACAGCAAGCGTTGCACGAAACGTTGAATTTTATAAACTGGATTCTATTTAATCCTAGCTCTGCCCTTTTAGTTCCCGAGCGTAAGCTAAAAAGAATAGTAATAGAGTCCATCCGGCAAATAGCCATGTTCATATTTTTTGGCCATCTCATTACCCCTAGAATATGTAAAAGTAGGTCTCCTATTCCCTTGTGTTTGTCATTGTTCAGGACAAATCAGTGAAGTAAATTTCTGTATTCAATAAAAAAGAAACAAATGTTATACCTCCTCTAGGAAGTCCCTTTAATTTTATCTGTAAACACAGAAACCTTGTAGGCAACTCATACCCTCTACCCTTGTTTACAACTGAATTTCTCAGTTTATAATAGCCAATTTTCTCACCGGCAAATCACCACCGTTACACTGCCAGTACTCAAATATGCAGACAAATACCCTTCTTGTCTTCTCGATTATTTCCGAAGACAAAATTTCGGGTAAAAAAATGTCTTATCCGGATATATTTTTTGTTCTATCTTGAGCACGTCGCTTCGACTGGAACTTTCACCTACACCTTCACATAAAAACCAATCTTCGTCGTATTTTTCACTAAAATGTCGGTATTTTTTGTCCTCCACTATCATTCGCTTCCGCATGGCTCCCATCGCACGTCCGTCCGCCGTCATCTCGATTTCCACCCACAAATCTCCAACAAACAACGCCCAACACAACGTGGCATTTACACGCCAAAACAAGCGCATTACCATTTCCGGCTTGTCAGAGGTGCCACTTTGACACTCTTCCGCCTCATCGTCGGCGTTATTAGAGGCGACCGGATCGGATTCGCTCATCTTGGATTCCGTCCCAGCGCCATCCACTCACCAGAGGCGGCTCGTCGACTGACCTAGGGTTTTTAAGTTTTTAGTCATCATATTTGTTAGTTATCTAACCAAAAGTTTTCTTAGGTTGGTGTTATTATTCGTCTTACGAGCTGGTGTGCAATAAGAAACTAATTAAAACTACTTAAAACGCATGTGTTTATAAAAATATAATGTTTAAATGATTTCATTGGGCTTGGTCAACTGACCAAGATTTAACTATCAAATTAAGTTAAGTAACTGAAATACCTGAAAGACGTAATAGCTGAATAAATGTTGTAAATTGCTTTAATGCGGTTTATTTCGGGATGCGGGGGCGGCGTTTCACCTGTCGCCGGGGTCACGGGCCGCCGCTGCCGCTTACGGCCTCACCCACACTCCCCGAATTTTCCGATAATTTTGTCGTCAATCAATCAAAGAGCACGTCAGTTTTCACTTTTAATTTTTCGACGCACCGAGCGGCTTTTAAAAAACCTTGATGGAGTGAAAGGGTGTTCGGTTACAGTAAAAGCCGAGAAATTGAAGAAGGAGCGGGAGGAGGGCAAACCGGAGAAGAAGAAGCGGAGGAATGCGAGGAGGAAGCCGATGGGGCCCACGAACTCGGCCGGAGAGGCCATCGAGAAGATCCTCCAGGAGAAGAAGATCTCGTCGAAGATTAACTACGACGTGCTGAAGAGCCTGAACGCCACGTTTGCGAAGCCGGAGAGCGCGACCGAGGAGGAGGGGGCGGCGCAGCCGGTACCGACTAAAAGGTGAGTTTTCTTTGTCTATAGGTACAGACATAAGTGTTCTTAATGTGAAAATCGAGTAACTTTGGTGGCTACTGTGTCGGCGTCAAAGTACACAAAGTTAAAATTTTTAAGGGTGATTGGTGTCGAATTTAATACGGATGAACAGACAAATTTTGATTAGACAGACGGACTAAAACGAGAGACCCACTTTTTCATATTTTTTTTAGCCACGAAAAGTCCAGAAAATACAAAGTTTGTCACTCGGGACAAAAAAAAGACAATCAACATTAAGGATACGAAGTTCGTCCTCGCAAGCCCGCGTGGTACGTTCTGGATACCATTGAGGATAAGAGGCGCAGCCGGTTAGATAAATAGTCTACAATTGAAATTAACTCAAACAAAGAACAGAAAGACTAACGTCGTCGTTGTTTTTTTTTTTACTTCTTGAGCGTAACCCGGAGAAGTTTAATCATTTCCACCAACAATTTAATGACGTGAACTCACAATTTTGTAAGATAATCCTTACTTAAATCTTATAAAAAAGATATTTCTGTACTTGTAGTTTATTAATCTGCCTTTGTTTTTTATTTTAGAAAAAAATCAAAACTGTAAAACATATTACAATTTAAATTAGAATCTATAAAACCGACTGCAAACGTTTGAAGGTTATCGTAAACATATCTAATAATATGTAAAAATGGCTAATCAAAAATTTCTGTTTATTCTCTCCAAAAATTTGATAAAAGCGTCTCAAAATTTGGCTGTGGGCAAAGTATGTGTGTTCTCCGTCTGTGGCGATTTTTATTAGACAGATAATGTCCGAACTAACGAACCAATTGTTGTAAAATTTTATATGTGCCAACCAAAATTTGTGTAATCATTCCCAGCAATAATTTAATGACGTAACCTCAAAATTTTGTAAATTAAACATTATTACATTTTATAAAATAATATACTCCTACATGTGTGGTTTATGAATCCACCTTGATTTTTAATCATAGTTATTTTACAAAAATGTTTGCGCAGGGTTTACCGCGTGTTTCATATAATGAACATCTCGCTTACGTAGAGACAAGTAGGCGTGTTGGGATCATTTAAGGCGTTAGTTCGTATGTCATTCTCATCGATATTTTTTTTATTTATAGAGGATATTACGAAAAAAGAAACGAGTTCTGTTGGACTCTATTTTTGGGAAGAGAGAATTTGAATTTTTGCCCGAAACGTCCAGATTTTTGGAAAAAAAAAATCAAAATTTTGAAGCAACATTTTGCAATTTAATTTGGAATCTGCAAAACCGAATGCTTTTACGCTTATGATAAGAATGATATATCATAATATATTTACTTATCCCCTCCAAAAAACTGATGACGTACAACTCAAAAGTTTACCGAATAAATCCTATCTAAAATGTACAAAATATGATGAGTCTGTACTTGTGATTTATCATTCCATTCATATTTTTTGGATTTGCATATACAGGGTGACTCGAAGAAATTAATGAATGCCTGAATTTATTTTATTGATTTAATCAGGAACTACAAAATTGAATGCTTGAAAACTTGGAGATGTTTTAAAGTTATCATAAGCATGGTAAATTTTTGATCAAAATGTATTTGCTCATCCCCCATAAAAAATTGATGACGTCACACCAAAATTTTGCTAAATAAATCCTATCTAAAATGTACAAAATATGATGAGTCTGTACTTATGATTTATCATTCCATTCATATTTTTTGGATTTGCATATACAGGCTGACTCAAAAAAATTAATGAATGCGTGAATTTATTTGATTGATTTAGTGAGGAACTATAAAACCGAATGCTTTAAAATCTTGGAGATGTTTAAAGCTATCGTAGGCATTGTAAAGTTTTGATCAAAATGTATTTGCTCATTCCACCTGAAAATTTAATCACGCCGCCCTAAAATTTTGCAGAAAAAATTCTTTCGAAAATGTGCAAAATGTGATCAGACTATACTTGCAACTCATCATTGCATTCATATTTTTTAGATTTGCTTATACAGGTGACCAAAAAAAAATAATGAATCAGTCAATTTATTAAAGAAAGTGAAACTAGAAGCGAATAACTTTCGACCAATTTTTTAGAGATTCTTGTAGAACTTGTTTTTCTGAATACATTAATGTATCATACTTTAATCACCTATATCTGGCACTAATTCCAATGCTTTATGTTACAAAAATACACTTGTGTAAATTTAATCTAAAGTGTCCCGTTGTCAACCCACGGATTAACAATTGCTTCAAAAATATGAATAAATTGATAAAGTAAACCTGTATTAATGAATTATTATTATTAATTAGATTTCCCATTTGAAAATATTCCCATCAATATTATTTCAGCAAAGTATGTTAATTCCGATACGTGCCCTGTCGGAATAATAAAACACTGGGGTGTACCATACTTCACATTTGATCAATAAAAAATATAATCGGATTCAAACGAGCACTAGGTTGTATGCCTAAGAATAACCTTATACGAACTCCACATACACTTGTATAAACGGTTGCTGTACAGTTTCGTTTTTTTTTTTGCGAAAAATTTCAATGCCTCGGAAGGCGGATTCATAAACAACAACTATGTTATTTTATAGAATTTAAATCCCACTGACCATGAACAATTTTGAGGGGACGTCATCACATTGGTGGTGGGGATGATTAGAAAAATTTTGGTTACCGTTTTACCATCTGCAAGACATTCCTAGTATACATACAAAATTTAACCACAATCGGTCCAATAGTTTCCGAAATTACGTGGCTAATAAAAATCGACACAGACGCCAAACAGGCAGACGGAAACGTCGAGAACACATACAAGTATCCATTCATCCGATGGGCTCGATTACAAACACTCGATAAGGATGAAATTCGAACCCACAGGGGCGGTAGAGCACAAGTTCGACAATCCAACCCGCCCACGAGATATTTGATACATGGAAAATATTCCAAAAAAATGTTGTAACGTAATTGTAAAAAAACAAGGCGAATTAATAAACCACAAGTACTGGAGTATATTATTTTATAAAATTTAGATAACCGTTCGTACACAAAATGATGCGGAAACGTCAACAAATTGTTGTTGGGGATGGTTAGACAAATTTTGATTGTCGTTTTACCACCTACACGATATTTCTAAATCACTTACAAAATTTGACAACAATCGGTCTAGTAGTTTCGGAGATTTATCTGGGGGCAGACGGAAACGGGGACCAATTTTTGGGTACTCTCGAGGTCATGAAGCATCGAAAAACATTCGTCGAATTACGCTCGGGAAGTGACAATGAATTTCTCGGAATCAAAGTACATAATTTATCTAAGAAATCGAACTCGTTTAACTGCAATGTTTACCATTGTTTTTTCACCAGAACTGTAATTAATGAAGGCGTTAAACAATCCTCGACATTAAAGTATTGTTTTAGAAACCAATTACTACAAACATAGATGAGTTTGTATTGTTACGTTGAACGGGTGATTAAAATCGGCGTGGGTAAAACTCAACAATTTATTTACTAGCTTGAATTTACACGACTAACTTATTACAATAATTCCGGCGCAACTTATTCACTTCTTGATGTTTCGCAATCGAGGTCTTTCTCGAATCCATCGCGACTTCCGCTTCCAGGCTTTCCTTTTCCACACACTAGAAGAAACACATACATTCTGGAAGACCCATAGGCGTCGTATGGGTTTATTTCATAACAATATTATGAACGCACAAATATAAATCTTTTCTTTTTATTTACGAATGAACATGTAAGTATTAAAAAAAAGTGTGTCGTTCGTAACTCTTCGGTTTTGATATTTCTCCGCTTTTTCGTAGCATTTGTAACGGTTCCATGTTGTGAAACCACCGGACGCAATATTTTTCTTAAGCCGTATCTTAGTTATTTGTTGAATTCGCTTAACTTCCAGCTTTGTGCAACTATAAAAACAAACCTGCAATAAAATTCCCAGTCGACATGGCGCGTGTATCCAGCAGTTCGCCTAAAAAACCATAAGTAATAAAATTTCTGGGATTCTTCAACCAAAACATTTTTTTTACTCCATTAAAAGCGTCTGTTTTTTTATCTGGTTGTTTACTGCGACCGGCAGTGAATGGCACAATTTTTCCCAGATAACTAACCACTTCGGTGCACTAAATTACAGATGTTTCAGATGCAGCGTCAAGTTCGCCCACAAAATGCATAATCTCGTCCCGCGTTTCGTGCAATAGCGATAAAGCGAAAATAATTTCAAGGGTTATCCTCCGGCGAACGCGTGTCGGAAAGGGGCGAAAAAATTGCTGCAATTAGGGTCTCGTGCAGCGCCGGAAGTTGAGTGTCAACGACGACAAAATTTCGCAACATGTAAATGCAAATTTATTACGTCCTTCACTAAGTAGCTCCGGTAATGATAATCCGCCTGCGGTGGCTGTAAGTCCCGAACAGCAGAAGCCGCTGACTCGATAAAGGAGTGGCGGAGGATTACACAGGAGTTCGGAAGTTTGCAATTGTGCAGTTGCCTGTTTTTATATTTACAGATAGAAACTGGGTTTGTGTAAAGCAGGAAGTGCTTCATTTTAGGGAAAAAAACTTGCGTGTGGACTGGTAATGAGGTAATGACGTTCTGGGGGTGAGATGATGTATCGTGCAGCATTTGTGGTGATTCGCAGGAAAAAATATTTTGATCCAAAATTACGTGACAATGTGGTATTTTTTTTGTAACAAATTAGCTCCAAATGGATTAATTAGTCTCAACACCAATTGCTCGTAGACTACATAATTAATAAAATAGAAAGAAAATGTTCGATCTACTGTGTAAAAATCCATAAAACAACTTTGTTATTGAAGGATTACTAATAAACGCCTGACGGGTATTATTACGAGAGTTTTAATAATTAAAAGCTGAAATAATCGCTTGCATATAATTTAGGGATCATTAAATATCCAATTGGCTATTACGAGGTGTGTTATTCTCGTTAATGTATGTATTGTTAACAATTACGTTAAGTACCAAATCAATTCA